CTTCATCTGTTCCCTGAAAGCATGATCTTAGGAAAATTATTGTACAGTAGCAGTTATAAATGGGCAAGTAAGCAAACCATTATAATATCAGTCTTCATGACTTCACTATCTTCTATTAAAGCATTAATCTGATGCTTCATCATGGAATCCTGGAAGGGCACAGCTACTATGAATAAGCTCTGGGCAGGATGTAACCCACTGAACACGCTTCAAGGACAGATGGATATAACAAAAGAGACTGATAGTGAGTGGTCCAATTTGGCTAGAAGAGGACAAATAGTGTTTATAAAATGCATTGCAGGGAGTGGGGGTTGAGGGGCAAGACCCTACCCTGGAGATTAGTTTGGCAATAATCAGCACCAGAAGGTTGGCAGGCAGTTAATTTTTTTGGCTACAGCTTATGAAAACTATCCAGGCTACCTAGGTTGGCAGAGGGAGTTCCCATACTGATGATCTTTTGAAGTATTTATCTGGGTTCAGACATAATATTTCTGGGAAGCTGCAGTACCTTGGAAAAAGCACTGGCTTTAGAGTCTAAAGAACTGGGTTTAAATCCTGCCTCTGACACAGAGTACTTGTGTGACCTTGGGCAAATCACTTAACCTCCCTAGGCCTCAGTTTCTTTATCTGCAAAATGAGGTGATTGGACCAGACAGCCTGTGAGGGCCCTTATAATCCTATGGCAGCCTGCTATAAGGTATGCCTGTAAATAATCAGAATACTACCTTTAACTAGAGGTAAATGTAAGCTATTATCTCCCACACAAGTATCATTTATCACTAACATTGGGAGCTAATTAATGCTGCTGACAAGAAAGCAGGAGTCTCAGGACCTATTAATTTTCTATGGAGTGTGAGGGCCGAGCCTTTCCTCCTTCTAAGAGGCTGGGTGTGAGATGGCCAAAGCAGCCCATTGAACAGGCAGAATGAGCGGAGGAAGGTCACAAAGTGAGGTGCTTTCTCACCTCTATAATTTTCTTAGGACCCCACAGGTAAGAAAGGCAGGCCTGCAGATTTATGGGAATTAAGTCATTTCCCAAAAATCTTTCACTCACCAATTGTTGCCTAGAACTCTCAACAGGGAGAGCCCTTCACTCTGGTCACAAACAAGGCTTAAAATGAAAATTTGCAGGCCCAGGGGCTTTCAGATTCCTTCACACTAAGGTGTAAATGACAAATAATAGTATGATTATTCTAGGGTGGAGAAGTGGAAGGAAGAGAAGATACTGAGTGCCTGAAATGTAGAGAAGGGCCAATAAAAGGGGAGAATGGGTTCACTGAAACATCAATGACTTCATAATTTGTCAGGTCAGTGGAGCTCAATCAACCATAATCCACAAAGAAAGAAAGGCTGCAAGGTGAGCCGAATTTAAGATTAGGTCAATATCAGTTAGCATTAACAGAAAGTCATTAGTCATTGGTATACTGCAGAATATCCTGGGGGCTGGGGAGTGGGGCAGAAGAGAGATGATGAAAAAGGATGGCACAAGGAAAAAGAGAAATAGGGGGCAGCTAGGTGGCGCAGTGGATAAAGCTCACATCTTGGAGCCAGGAGGACCTGAGTTCAAATCTGGCCTCAGACATTTGACGCTAGCTGGGCAGGTCACATAACCCCGACTGCCTCACCCAAAAGAAAAAAAAGAGAGAGGGAGAGAGAGAGAGAGAGAGAGAGAGAGAGAGAGAGAGAGAGAGAGAGAAATGCTACTCTCTTTCTCTCTCTCCCAAGCCACAAAAATCATTATAAAGCAGAAAATCAACGAATGACAGGCAGATACTGCATTTGGGTCCTTGCCTCCCATACTTCAGAGTATAAGATAGATGCTGTTGGCACAGTGGATAGAACACTGAGCCAGGAGTCAGCAAGATGCGAGTTCAATCTGGCCTCAGATACTTCCTTAGCTGTACGACCTTCCTTCCTCAACGAATTCATACAGGACTCAAAACTTTTCTAGGGGACTTCAGTATACATAATGATTCCTCAACACCCTAACCAACTCAGTTCCTCAGTCTGTCACTTCCCATGAGATATCCCTCCATCCCAACTAAACCCATACAAAATGTCAGACCCTTAATCTTGCTGTAACCCACAAATATACCATCTCCGAGTTCAAGAATTCTAAAATCCCTTTAATCTAAGCATAATCTATTGGCTGTTCACTTCCCCCTCTGCCTTCCCTTACCAAACCCTCCCTTTTATCCACACCATGATCTCCAATCCCTTGTCCCTTCAATTTTCTACAGGCCATTTCCCTTGAACTACTCTATTTTCCCCATCTTCCCCTTTGATGAACCAATTCAACTCAACACTGTTCTCTTCTCTTGAATCTCTAGCCCCCTGATCATTTTCCCAATTACAACTTGCCAAGCCTCAACCTTGGATCACTCCCACAATTTTGCCACACACACTGCTGAGCAAAGACAGAGAAAATCACACCACCTTTCTGACTGTTACAGAACAGATCTGTTACACAATCTTAACTGGGCCCCTATTGCTGCTAGGCAATCCTACTATGCCTCCCTTATCAACTCAAGATCCCACTCTCCATAGCAGCTTTTCCAAATCTTTTCATTCCTTCTCAAACCTCCCATGGCTCCCCTTCCCCCTACTCTCTTAGCTGAAAATATTTTACCAAAAAAAATTGAGGCCATCTGCCATGAGCTCCCTCTGCTCCCCTCTTCCTCATATCCTACCACTTGGATGGCTTCTATTACTCTCTCCTCATCCACCCATCTCACATGAAGTGGCCTTACTCCACACAAAAGCTAACCCCTCTACCTACTTAAGCAACCTCATTCCAATCCATCTCCTCTAACAGACTGCCACCTCTATCATCCCCGTGCTATCACTTACTTTCAGTCTGTCTACTGACTCATTTCTTATTGCCTACAAACATGCTCATGTTTTCCTCATCGCCACCCCACCAAAATCTCACCTGATCCCTCCATTGCTGCTATTGTCCCAAATCTCTTCTAAGCTCTATAGCTAACCTCTGGGAAATTACCATCTATAATTGGTGCCTCCAATCCCCTCAACCCCCTTCTTAGCCCCTTACAATCTGGTCTCTGACTTTATAATTTCACCCAAACTACTCTCTCCAATTACCAATGGCCTCTTAGTTGCCTTTGCAGCCTTTGACGCTATTAATCACCCTCCTTCCTTGATACGCTCTTCTCTTTTCAGGACATCACTCTCTCCTAGTTCTCCTACTTAAGTGACTACCCCTTCTCAGTCTCCTTTGCTCATACAGATCACATCCTCTACCTGTAGGCATCCTTCAGGGTTTTGTCCTGGGCCCATTTCTCTTCTCCCTCCAACCTACTTCACTTAGTGACTATCTCATCAGCTCTCATAGATCTATTTAACATCCCTATGCTGACGATTCTCAAATCTACCTATCCTGCCCCAGCCTTTTTGCTGACCTCCAATCTCACATCTCCAACTGCCTTTTTGGGACATCTCAAACTGGATATCCACTAGATATCTTAAACTCAGTATGTCCACCAAGTTTCTAATATGGGCCTAAGTTTCCTCCTCAGTTTCACCTGCTGGATCTATTTCACGGTGGCTGTGAAAGTACTACAACATAGTTAAAAAGTACCTTGTAAATTTTCAACCGTCAGCATGTATTTGAGCAGACCTACCAACATCACCAACTAGTGTAAGAATTGGTGCAAGCCAACAGGGATTTTAGAGCACTCTCAAAATGTTATCAGCATGTAGCTTATGCTCTATGAAAATAAAGTGTAAAACCTTTCTTGCCCTCTAGCATTAACAAAGGATGTTGTCTTTTCTCCATCTCCTCCCTTTACTTCACGACAATAGCTCTGTGATCCTTGCTAAGTTTATCCTCTCTGGACCTGTTTCCTCTGTCAAATGGGGATAACACTTGCACTTCCTACTTCACTGGCTTCTTGGGAGGAAAAGTTTAAGAGTTACAAAGCAATAATAAATTTTGTTAATATTAGCACTAATTCTATTTACCCATTTTACTTCCATCAAAACCTTCCTAACCTTCCATTCCTGCCACTTACTAGACTTACGGCAGGCACAGAGGGGAGGAAATGTCATTGCTGAGACTAGAGGCCAAGATCACAAAGGTCACTCAAGCATCACCAAGGCTCACAAAGAAAATGAGAACCACATTCTGCTCCTTAGAGTATTCAGCAATTTTTGAGAGACGAGATGTTTCCCACTTGTCAGTGCTAAGGTTAGGAAAAGCTATACACTCCATCTGAAGATAACCAAGCATACAATCAAAAGGGATCGAAATTATTGACTGGTTTAACAGAATGTGTTTGAGGTAGACAGACAATAAAAGAAATACAGTATGCTATATCAAGATGGATTCAAACTCTGCCTTATTTTGGAGATGGAAGACACTGGAACTCCACCTACTGAACTGAGCTCCCACTGGACTGTGAGCTCATGGAGGACAAGGACCATGTTTCCTTAAGTGTATGATGGGGATAATAGCAGCCCCCATCTCCCTGGGTTGTGATGATCAAATGAGATATTTATATAGTGATTAGGGCAGGGCTTAGCACACAGTAGGCACTTAACATATACTTGTTTCTTTCTTTATCCTGACTTATAGTGGCAGTGTTCTCTCCCCTAACACCATATATAACATGTGATTTCAGGTCATTGTGTAAACATGGAAAACTTACAGAAAGGTGATGCCAAGAAGTCATAGAAATTACCACCTTCTCTCAAAGGGAAACATGTTGGGGGGGTGAGGGAAAATCCCTGGAGTTACCAGTGTTCCTGGGGGTCACAGCTTATTTTCACAAAACTTAACCCTTACCTCAGAGACCAAGTTGGGGAGGGGGAGAAGGGGAGGGAATATTCTGGTTATCTTAGTGAAAAATTAATAAGTTGATTTGTGACATCTGAAACAATTTGCTAATTCCACATCTGTTATTAATTTTAGAATAGAAGCTAGCATTTCCCAGTTCTTCTGCAATTCTCAGATGAGTTTGGAAAAACCAGAAAAACCAGAATAAGCAACACAAGTCAATCTTTATTGAAAACTGAAGTATTAATACATAACAATTTTTGTTACAATAAACGTGCTTTTTTAAGAATTTTAAATCTGAGCTCATCTACTCATCGGATTGCATAAAAAATAAAAAAGTATGAATTTACACATAATTGAACTGGCTCAGGATGGATTTTCCACACCTTTGTGTTGACACCATAAGTTCAATGCAGAAGTGAGTGATGTTTTTTTAACATTTTGGAAGACAACACTGACCTAACTTAAAAAAAAAAAGTACCAACATAACTGTCTGAAAAACAGTATTTTTTTTTTAAAAAATCATAAAAAAGAAACCTGTGTCTACTCAGTAACAAAATATGGAGAACTATTATTGGGTCCTTTTCATTTGTACTTCTGTTGCATGCAATCACTTGTTTTGGACACAGGGCAGCCAGTAAGAGTGCTACAATAAAAAGAACACTAACAAACCCATTCTATTTAAAAATAAGTCTGTACAGGAACCAGCTAAAATAAACCCTTGAACACAGCCTGCTGCTGGGACCCAAACCAGACCCTACCAACCTGGCAGTCAGAATTTACTCTTCAGTTCCAGGAAGCTGGGAAAGGCTGATCATTATGTGATTATGACCAATGGGCATTAGGCTTCTGGTAGTGGTCAGTGTTCACAAATCTTGCATCTGACAGTTTGCATTTTCTCTTGAAGCTAATCACGTTTCCTCCTCCTCTACCATGTACACCAACAATGGTTTCCTTTATCAGTACTGTCCCCCTGCCTTGTCTTATCATCAAATGGTGCATAAACTTGATAGAAAAGTCCCAATTAATCTGGAAAAGATCTCTGAACCAAGCTGGGACTGCATGAATGATACAGGATGTCACTTGGGGCTTTCCCTTCCTTCAGGGATTTAAAAAAAAAAATTCAAGGCCAATTTAGCATTTTTCTTCTAAATATTTTCTAAATAACCACTTACTCGATTTTGGTGTGTTATCTAAAATGTATCAACTACTTTCCCTAGAAAATGTAGGTCCAATAAAGTACAAATGCCACTTAAAAATAATTCTGAGAGATGCCTGAAGAGAGCGTAGTAAAATGAAAGCCTTGGACAGAACTTTTTCCTCCCCTCACCTAAACTAAGTTCACTTTGCAAGGAGAACTACCCTCCTCCTTTGAAGGAAGCAAGAGAAAAATTAGAACAAGTAATTTGTCCCAATCTAACTCCTAATTTACTACAGCCATATTAAATCACAATTGACTAGGGTCTTACTGCTGTCCCTCTGCTAAATGAAGCACAGTTATTTCGAGGTCTTTCTCTAAAAGCCTCAGACTAACATTCTTTACTCAGTCAAGCCAAAGAGGAAGAATTCAAGATGATGATGATGATGTTCTCCAGTCAAAACAGCATAGAACACATATGTCTTCCTGCAACAAATTAACAAATCTAAGGGCAAGGAAAGCGAGCCAAATTTTCCAGAATACTGTTTTTTGTAATGCTCATTTCTTTAAAAGGCAGGCAGACAGAATTGGATTTGATTTCTCACACAGGTTTTAAATTTCTGATGTGTTCCATGCCTTTTCCCACCCATTGATATGCTAAAATAAATAACAGGAGCACAGGATATACATAGGAGCAAAGCTACTAGATAAATTACTGCTAGTTTTAGGCAAGAATGTATTTCCTCTCACTACTAGTAAAGTATGAACAGATACATAGCATATCAATTCAAGTATCATTAGGTCTAGGCCAGATGACACCAGAAAGCCTGGGCATGATAAACCGGGTTGAAAGGGTGGCACCAGGTAAAAATGACAGGTAGGTAAGAAAGGAAATTTTCTAATAGCATAGCCCAAAGGATTGCTGGTTCTTTACCACTGAATCAATATTTCATTTGCATAGCATACAAGGAAAAAGTTCCAATGAATAACAATTTTGTAAAACTAATAACTTTACTAACATATTTTCCAAGTTTATAAAAAGACTGATTTTTAAATTTTCTAAACTGCTTGGTTAGTAATGAAATACGCCAATCAATGACTGATGAATTTCTAAGAACAATAATTCGCCTTGTTTCCCAAAGAATAGCCTACATATGTCACTAGGTTTAATAAACTGAACACCTACCACAGATCCTAAACAAGATTTTTATTGCAATAAAAACAGTAGAATCTACAGATCTGATACACTAGCTCTCTCGGGTCTTAGGTTAAAAGTTATGTCACAAGAAATCTCACTCCTATAAAAGCTGCCAAATGTTGATAGGAACCAGCACATTTCCCCATTGCTGCTGTCCTGCTTCCATTTCCTAAGAAGTCCCAGTACAGCTAAACGCTTGCATTTGTAGGAGTCCTGAATCAGGAATGTCATATAAAAAGAAGAGAAGGTTTCAGGAGGTTCTTTATTGCTATAATTTGTCTCCTAAAAATACAACTCTATAGTGTATAATTCTGACCTAGTTATCTCTTTATTTTTTTTTAATTTAACAAAATGTCATTAAGATAAGATTTATTTATCCCCTACCACCATGTTTTGTTACTATTCTAATTATTCATGTGACCAGACACATGTCCTTAGTTAACAGAAGTGATCTCTCTCTCTTTCATTAATCACTTATAATAGATGGTATCCTGATAGCTGCAAAAAATGAAAATTTCTCTTTGTGGATGAATCCCATAATGCAAATTAGTAAAAGTATTCAATGAACAAGACTACTTAAATTTTTAAAAAGAGGATAAGGAGAAGGAGGAGGTACAGAAGAAAAACTATCACTGGGTGAAAAAAATTACATTTAAGAACCTGATGTTAATAAAAAATGTAAAATACAGAAAAGAATCTCTATCTTTCAAAAATGCTATCTATGATAGCATTTATGAAAATCCTTCCTCATATGGTTCCAATGCTTCATGCTCATCATTCCTGTGGAACAATTACACAGCAAGGCTTTAAAGCCATTTTGTAGTTTCTTAAATCTGAATGATTCCACACCTCATGGTTACTTTTCTAAAATTGAGAACATACTTTAAGATGGTGAATCTCTTCTTCTAAACTAGATATTGATAAACTAAAAAAATTGTTCTATCAGTTCATTCACTTTAGTCCTTGGAGTAGAGCATTCTACCAGTCATTATCTGCAAACCTGTTCACTACACAAACGGAATTATGAAAAACAGATTGGAACAAACACTACAGATTCAAATTGTTTTCTCTAGGGGTAAAGTTCTGCTCCATAAACATATACGGTAGTCTCTAAGTTGCATTAAGTGCTCAAGAAACATTTTAAAGTATTTATAAGTAAATACTATAAGTATGTCAAGAGGCATTAGGAATAAAGGGTCTTCTGTTTACAGTGATCCATGCAAAAATATTCCTAAACTTTATAAACTAAATTGTTGAAGTTAAAAAAAAATGAAGAGTGCTTACTGTAAAAAATAAAGTTACTAAAGGCTCTCATCTCAATGGTTGTTCAGGAGCATATACTTCTCCCTCAGAGAAGAATGCTGAAGTGGAGGCAAAGGGTACTAGCTTGAAGGAGCTGCCAAATCCACAAAAGGAGCAGGATATCCCACCCCACCTGCCAAAAAACAGGTGTTACCCAAATTCACTTGTGGGGTGTAACAAAACTGCAAACGCTACAGCCTGACAGATCTCCCTGTAAACCCTTAAAAGGGAAGGGAACAAAATTTTGTAACCATTAGCTGCAGTCAGAAGTATTTAAAAGCTCTAAAACTTATCAGATTCATACATAGCAAGTCAGTCAAGCTGTGGGGAAAAAAAAGACAACCCTTGTGACTTCTTTTGCACAATATTCAGATTTCTAAGTTAAATTCCTTTCAGCAATAGTTCTGGCATGCAAATTGATTCTAATGCTAGTCCTTCATCCCTAACAGCATTTACTTTGAGTTGAATTATTACTGCTGTAAGAAAGAAGGAAAGGACAGTGGAAGAGACTCAACAAGAAAACCCTAATCTGCAGCTGGACTCACGGTCATGCTTCCCAAATGACATCTGAGGTAAAATAAAATTTGAGTTTGCATCAAAAAATACTGTGACTCACAAGCAGCCCATACTATGGTCAGAAATCAATTGGCAAATTGAAAGAAAAACTCCCCAGTTTTTGAATGTTCATACATTCTGACAGCCCTGCTACAAATGTATGCATAATCCACTATAATAAACTTCAGATTAAGGACATTAAAAAAATAAAACAAAACAAAAACAAACAAAAAACCCAAACTTGTTTTTTGTTCCCCTTTAATTCCTAAGCACACAAACTTTGAATTCTTGCCTGTTTGTGAAAAAACCTAGCAGTGCCCTACATGTTTTGTTCTATTTTTTAAAGTAAGTTAGGTCAAACTGTACATACATTTTTCAGCTGAATAGAACATTCTTTAGGATACAAATGAAACAAACTGGAATCTGATACCTCCCAACAGTGTGGCAGTCTCACTTTTAAACCTATCTTCCATCATATGGAAATATGATGACTATGTACTACACGTGAGTTTTCAATAACAGTTAGAAAACATTACTCCTCCAGAATTTTGTAATAAAGATTTGCATTCAAAATTTAGGCAGCCAAAAAAAGCTGCTTTGTTCACACATTATCCCTTCTGACTGGCCACACAATCAAGCATTTCATTCTAATCTTTAAGAATGTCTATGTAACACTGACTCCATATAATACAACTGAAAGGGGATGCTTGGAAAACTGATTTTGTGCAGGAATTTTGACCCTGCCAGATCTTTCCTCCAGTCACTTCTACTTGTATTAACTGAATTCAATTGGAAAAGAAATATAATTACCTAAAATAAAAAAAAAATCCATGTCCTTAACTGTCAACTTATCAACCCCCCAGAAATTGAAGCACTTACTAATGGGTAGTATGATGTTCTATAAAGAAATTCACTTTCACGACTCTACCTTTTTAAGACTTTGCATATGTTACAACAGTGCATTGATAACAAGTTGTAAAATACTTTTCAGTTCCTTTGGATTTTGCATATGATGGTTTTGCATCAGTCACTGCAGGTAGATTGAGCAAGCTTGTTTGTGTGTGTTGTGTGTTTTGTGTGTGTGTGTGTGTGTGTGTGTGTGTGTGTGTGTGTGTTTTAAACATGCATTCAACTAGATATGGATCAGAATAAATTTATACTCCCTTTTGATCATTATAGTTAGCTAAAAAATTGCAAGACAGTCCACAAAACAGGATTTGCTTTAAGACTAACTACTGGAGTTCCAAGATGTAAGATATGCAGCACTGGAAATCTTCAGTGATCTGAATTTAGTAGTGTTTAGCAAAGTGTTGAAAGCATTCAGAAGAAAGAAAGTCCTGGTTGGAGGCATGAGGGGCTTCAGCACCAACTGTTAAACCTCAATTACTTGATTGCATATCTCCCATCTTCAAACCTATGGTTAAATGAAGATATAAGAACGAGTCACCGTAGATAACCAGAGACAGTCAAGCAGTCTTCAACTGCTAAATTCTAACATGCACTTTAAGACATTTGACATTCTTACAAGTCACAACTTTTACACAGATACACACACAGACACATGCACAGCCCTTCCAAATTCACCAGAAGGAAGGTTACTTTATTAAGTTCATTCATAATAATAGCAGTTAAAGAGTTATACAAACACTTAGAACAAACTAAAAAAGTTACGCTGTATTTATAACAATACAGAACTCTACATAAGTAAATACAGTATCATTTTTCACACTATTCCAAAAGTAAACATAATATACTTTCATTGTACCTATTTAACTGGTAACTTACATTTGCCAGGATGATCACCACTGCGGGGGCACGTAGCTATAGGTTGGTGTTCCTGGAGCCCGATATGTGGGCATAGTAACCGGATGAGGGGCTACTGGAGTAGGGGAATGAGTAGTCAACAAAGTACCTAAGAGAAAAGAGCATGTTTATTTTCCTTGCAAGTGATAATGGAAATGCTTTGCAAACTAACTAAGCATCATTCATAGTACAACTTGTCATAACTTGTAATAGTTCATGGCATGGTACATCCATGTTTGTTTGGTAAAGGGAAGGAGAAGTAAGAATGGCTACAGGAGTGGGAATAATCTCCCCAAGATATTCTGAGTTTGTCAGAATGTTTATTGAACTCTAAACAAGTCTGAATTTACACAAAACCTGTATCCAGACTAGCATAAATATGTATAAATATGTGTGTATATACACATATAACATGTGTGTATATGTATATGTGTGTATTTTTGAGTGTGTATATTAATAAAAATGGAAAGTTTATTATATAGATAACAGAAATTCAAGTTCAATTTATTTACATTTACAGCATGATGGCTCATGATAATATATATATAATAATCATGCTTTTTAGACTATTATATCTTTGCTTTTCTGTATATCATGTGGAAATCCTTTTAAACTGATGAAAGATTTTCCTGTCATCTCTATTTTCTTTGACTTATAGGAAAATGATGTACTACATCAATTCACATAGTCTAGTCTTACAAAGAATTCTTAAATTCTAGTCCTTCTAGTGTCAATCCTTTTTAAGTTTTAAAGGGGAAAAAAAGTTCTTATTCCCAATAAGCATGCTCAAGCAATTTAGACTGAATCAGATTCAGTAAGGAAGACCCAGGTTTGCGTGTCTTACTTGCTATATTGCTAGGCCATTTTAACATTCTAAGGTGATAGTCATGATTGACTCCTTCTTAATTTTTTACATTTACAATTTGTGAAGAACAATGTTATATAATTTTTCTCCATATTTATTTCTCTCCATAAATAGGTTTGCGTTGAAAGGGGACATGAGATGTATATTTCATATTTAAAAGTTGTTATTTAATCCTATGCCTTCTTAATTAGGATTCCTAGCCAACTTAATTACAGGAGTTTTATAAAGTGAAGTTGATCTAGAATGCCACTGACTATTACCTTGTGGTTAATTTCTTCAAGCACTAAATCTTAATGGGGCTTAGACTTTTATTATTTTTAGATATCTCATTATTTCAAATTCTTTAATTATTATGATCATGAACTATGATTACTATGATCATGAACTATATTGTTAAAGTCTTCTCCATGCTCATTTTATTGTTTATTTTGTAAATACAAACTGATTCAATACATGGAAAGAGACTATTTAAATCAAAATTGTTTGACAGTTCTGACTCAGAGGACAGTCTACACTGCAGATTTTTGTGAAACTTGAGTTTTCTGTCCACCCATGATTACATTTAGTTCTTTAAAGATATCTTTCTTTTCCAGCAACTCAGAGTTTTAGTCATGGAAAATAGGAACATTATTATGTGTATATATAATTACATTATTAAATAGTATGTGGAAAATAAGAACAGTGACCATTTACTTGTCCTTATATTTTTCTCTTCTGGGCTACTTTGTATAAGTTTTATTTTAGATTCCTCATCAGCAGAGCAAATAGTTTACACATAATAGTAACACCAGAGGAAAAACAATTAGATATATACAATCCAGATTTTGTCATTTGGAATTTGTATTTTATTTTATTTTGTCATCTGGGAAGGCCAGCGGAGTGGGACAAAAAAAGTTGTCTACTTAAAACATCTGACAGGAGAAAATGCTATTGAAATAAAAAAATCTCTAAAAAAGATTTTGATATTGTATAGATATGCAGGGCATGTGCCTGTGGACTTGCTTCTTGTGAAAATAACACATGTATATAAATTGTGTATAAATTTATTGTCTTTGATGTATTGGAAGAGGATAAGAAAGATCACCTTAGAATGTTAAAGTGGCCTAGCAATATAGCAAGTTAAGACAAGCAAACCTGGGTGTTCCTTACTGAACCTGATTCTATCTACATTGCTTGAGCATAGTTACTAGGAATAAGAGCTTTTCTCTTTAAAACTTAATAAGGACTGAAACTAGAAGGAGTGGAATTTAAGAATTCTTTGAAGGACCAGACTATGTAATTGGGTTTTTTTTTAGTGAGGCAACTGGGGTTAAGTGACTTGCCCCTTGTGTCTGAGGCCAAATTTGAACTCAGGTCCTCCAAACTCCAGAGACGGTACTCTATCCACTACACCACCTAGCTGCCCCCAGGCTATGTAACTGAGGTAGTACATTTTCCCCCAGGAGGCAAAGAGAAAATGGAGACAGGATGAAAATGTGCCTGGTCCTTTTAAAAGGATTTCACATAATACACAGAGAAGCAAAGATATAATGGTCTAAAAAGCATGATTATCATATACAATTTAAAAATATTATATATATTATATATCATTTATATATTATAATGATGTTATATTGTTATTATATATTATGTGTTGATTATTAATAATAATATTTTATTATTACTGTGGTGTTATGGTGTTATATTATATAAGATATATAATTCAAAAAATATTTGCAGAAGAGATACTAGAGTACTACATATTATCACAAACCATACATCATATTACTTCTCTAATTCAGACTGTAATTTTTTTAAACACCACCAATTTTTAAGAGAAAAGATTTTTGGGACTGCTAGGTGGCGCAGTAGATAGAGCTCCAGCCTCGGAATCAGGAGGACCTGAGTTCAAATCGGCCTCAGACACTTGACATTTTCTAGCTATGTGACCCTGGGCAAGTCACTTAACCCCAACTGCCTACTAAAAAAAAAAAAAAAGAAAGAAAGAAAGAAAGAAGAAAGGCTTTTTTAGAATTATCAACCTCTTCCCTAAATTTAATAGAAATTTCATTCAGAAAGAAAAAAAATCATCATACAATCTTAATGCTACAAGCACAATAGTTAACTCATAAATTTTCTGGGGGAAAAAAAAGCCAAAGCTGTCACTCAATTATTAGCTTTCGCAAATCTCTCTACTTGCTTGGCTTTGCATAACATGTTCAAATCCCAGCTCATACTACTTACTACCCTGAGAGACCTTAAACAAGTCAGCTAAACTATCCTGGCCTAAATTTTCTCATCTTTAAAATGAAAGTTTAAACCAGAGCCCTCTTAGATGCCTTCTAGTTCTAAATCTGTGGTCATGGTCTTTTTAGGATTCAGTTTCTTGATCTGTAAAATGAATATAAAATCAGTACAACCTATTTCACAGGATTATTATAAAGATTAAATACATATAAAATATTAAATGCCAGCTACCATCATCATTGTCTGGCTTATAGTTGGAAGAAAGCTTACAGGGGAAGAAACTGAAGCTCAGAAATGTCACACAACCCAAGGTCATACAACCAATACTGGTAGAGCCACGAAATTCATCAATATTATTTCAGTCTAACAAAATATCATTCCAACAACACATAAACAACCTAAGTTAAATAATGCTAGTCATCAAACTACCAGAGGAAATCCTTTGATTCGGAGTTTTTTGGTCCTAGAGTTCTCTGCTTCCTACCACCTACCACCTATATTTTTCTTTCAATTAAAAACAACAACAAAAAAGAAGCCATTCAAGAAAACTGCTCTGGAATCAAAATCTAGTCAATGTTAAATAGTAGGAGATGCTGGCCAATTTATTGTTATTTGAGGGGGAAAAGACCCACAAGGTATTTTCATGGGAAAGGACATGAATCTATTAACAAAAACAAAACAAAGCCCTATATGAACTGGAGTTTAGATCACGGAAATCTTACTTTTATTATTGTTGTTCTGTCATTTTTTAGTCATGCCTGACTCTTCATGACTGCATTTGGGATTTTCTTGGCAAAGATACTGAAGTGGTTTACCATTTCCTTGTCCAGCTCATTTTTCAGATAAGGAAACTGAGACAAACAGGGTTAAGTGATTTGCCCATCTGAGGCCAGATTTGAATTGGGGAAGGTGAGTCTTCCTGACTCCAGGCCTGCCACTCTATCTTACTATTGCTCTATAACATCTTGTGATATGATATGCTCTAAGAACAACAAACTAGTTAAAAAGATTTACCTGCTGACATTGCCATAGTGGTTCCAGCAACCATTCCCATAGTCACGCCATTTCCTCTTGGGGGAGGAATGGGAGCAGGATACATAGTTGCTGGCATGCCATTTGGTTGCACAACTGTGGTGTGATGAATTACGTGAGGTGGTGCTGCATACAAAGGTTGGGTGTAGTAAGTGCCTTGCTGTTGGAGAAAAGATAACTGCAGTTCAGTTTCTCACAAAATTTCTTTTATGTTTACATACACACACACACACACACACACTTATCTGTATCTCTTTGGCTACAATAAAAGGTTCACATTCATTTTTCTCAAATTTTCTCAACTTCAGCCAACATCTTTCATCAACAATTTCCCAACCAGCAGATTTTTAAAAATTGGGATCTGAAAAGCAATGTTTGTTAACATAACATTTGGGTTTACTGAAGCCATACCAAATGGCTGGTGCATAAGCTTTACCTGTGCATATGGATTCTGCTGTGGATAGGCACTTCGAACTGGGTACACTGCAGTCTGATAAGGGTTGGGTGATGATGAATAAGGTGGCACTGCCCCACTGGTGGGTGAACAGGACACTTTATATGGTGTACCGGGTGTATAACCTGAAACACAAATGTAGGATTATCTCAAAAAGAAGACCCAAAATCATTTAAATTGGACATACTCCTTTTACAGAAGAGAAAATAAGAGAGATTACGAAACTTGCCCCACCATATACCTACCTAATAAGTGGCTGGCCCATCCCAATCAGGATTGTTTCCATTAGTGTTACAAAGGGAAATTTTTAGTGGGACAGCATATTTGCCCTCCACAATGGGTCCTTGAAAATATAAGGTATGTGGCCAAACCTCTTGTTTCTTACTAATCCATTATAGGTTATTTCTTGTCCATGAGTACTAATAATCAATAAGTGACTTACATAAAATACACCACTAGGAACATGAAAGTAATCCTTGCTGACAATCTCATCTAATTATTGAAATTCTTACAATGGCTAAAAGCAAAAGGAGTGTACTTTCTTTAAATTGATTTCTCTCTCAAATGTGTTTAAGAAAAGGTCACACCCTTCTAAAATATAGCTAGTGGGTGAGATCAGTTTGATGAGGAAAAGAGAAGAATGGAGAACAAAAAGATGTTATTGTCTTGTGTCTGTCTATAGGCTAACTTATGGAAAGTTAGGCTTGAATTTTAAATATTTCAGAAACAAGGAAAATATGGGCAAGAAACTAAAACTTTTTATGAAAAAGCAGTTACAATGACAAGAGTGACTAAGTATTCCACAGCCAAGATTCTTAACCTGGGGTCAATGAACTTTTAAAAAGTATACTCCAATATAATTTATTTCCTTTGTAATCCTATGTATTATTTTAGAGATTTAAAAACATTATTCTGAGAAAGGATCCACAGAGGCTTCACCAGATTGCCAAAGAAGGTATATAACACATAAAAAAGGTTAATAGCTCCTGTGCTAGTGTTTAACCAAAGTATTACCCACACTAAATATGACAAAACCATGTACAAAAAAATTCTTCCCTTGCATTCATTCCATTTTGATAAAGAAATCTAGTGGAAGGATTGGTTTGTATACATTTGCTTCTGGAAAAAACAGCTACAGGGTCATATACATTTTTTAATAGTTTCCCTGGATTTCAAAATACTCATAATATACAGACAAAGCTTTTTCCTTTCCTTGTAGAAAATAAAAATTAGGCAAAAATATATGTGACTGACCATGTCAGACAATGTATACATCATTCTGTGCTAGCAGACTCCCATCTCTCTGTCATGAGGAAGGTAAGTTTTACCATATGTATTCTAAATCCATTAGTTCTTCAGTTACTCAGACATCTGCTTTCTTTTAGTAATCTTTTTTCTTACAAGGCTATAGTTATTTATATTATTCTTTTGAGTCTGCTTATTTTACTCTATATCAGTTCACATAAATCGTCCCATTTTTCTGAATTCCTCATATTCATAATTCCTTACTATATAGTAATTTCCATCACATTTACATACAACAGGGTTTTTTTAAAGCTATTTCTAAATGATGGGCACACTTTGTTTTCAGTCCTTCATTGCCACCAAGTATAGCCATGAATATTCTGGAATATGATGGACCTGTATTTTTGAGTTCTATGGAATTTATATATGTAATAATGGGACCAACAGGTGAAAAAGGTTAAAAGAACATAAACAGTTTTTCATTTTTCTTGTATAACCCCAAAAAGCTGGACCAATTCATATCTCCAATAACTGTATATTATTAGGTTTGTCTTCCACAGTCACTCCAACAGTGAAGGGTCTCATTTTTATGTCCTTCTTGCCAATATGCAGGGGGCAAAGCTAAACCTCACTTCATCTTTATTCATATTTCTCCATCAATGACTTGGATGATGTTTTCAAAATGTATTTATAGTTCATCGTTCTTTTGAAAACTGTCTATATCCTTTGTTAACAGGCAATCAACACCTTTAACAACCTACCTACTATTAGTGAATGTTTCTTGGATCATTTGAGGCAGCTAGATTTAGCAGGGATAGGAGTCAGGAAGATGTGAGTTTGAATCTTGTTTCAGCCACTATACAACCCTTGGGCAAGTCTCTTCAACTCTTAACCTCTTTCAGTTTCCTCATTTATAAAATAAGATGATGAAGCACCTACCTCAGAGGACTTGTGAGGATCGGATGAGATGAGTTAGTATAAAGAAAGCACTTTGTAAATCTTAAGTGCTATAAACATTATTATATATATATATATCAATTGCCTATATATTTTATATACCTCACTTTTATCAATGAGTTTTGATGCAAGTATTTTTCTACCTGAGTTTTTCTTTTTGTTCTATTTTTATTGATTTTGTTAATGAAAAAGGTTTAAAATTCTGTCATCAAAACTTTGTCATCTATGTTCTCCTCTGTCTCTTGTTTGGTTAAGGATTTTCCCCCTAAAAATAGTTTTAAAAGGTATCTCTGTTCTTCTCTCTCTTTTTTTTTCTTCAGGCAATATGTGTATATTCATATAAATATAATAAGCTTATTGTGGAATGTGTGCAACATATTGGTCTAAATCTAATTTCTACCAAAATGATTTCAAACCTTCCCAGTTCTTGAATCTACAAAAAACACTGGGCTACCGCTTTCTTTTTAAAAATGTTTTTTGTTTGGTTTTACTTTTTGTATTGAATTCCATGGAAAACAGGGAGGCTAAGTGACTAATTTTTGACTGGCAGCACCAGTAAAGAATGATACCAGTATCAAATACAATGGGATTGGTACAGAGCAAACCCTGATGACTTCCTATTGGGCAAGTTGTTAAAGGCTTAGCTAAAAGGAAAATTCTCCTTTTTAGAGTGGCAGAACTTAGCTCAAATTGGATTCAGTACTTAGATAACTACGTAGAAAGAATTTGGACAGACAGACATCAGACTTTCAAATATTGTAAACTGTGAATGTTGAAAGCTAGACCAGAAACACTAGAGCCTAGACAAATAGATTATTAATTCTGTTGGGCAGCCCTTTCAAATTGAGATTGCCCCAATTTACCATGTCCATTAGAGGCACCAGTACAGAATTCTACGCCACCTCCATATAATCCAGATATAGCAAGTACCATGGCAGCTTTAAGATTTATTTTTACAGGAAACAATCAGAGGAGTACATGTCCCCTTTAAACCAGGAGATGCTGCATTATGACAACAAGCCACTCTATCCTTTCCAAGGGACCCAGCCATCACCATTAATAGAATTAAGACCATTGCAAAAGCCATAACCCTACTTGGGAATGATATGGATGAGGTACTAGATGTTTTTCTCACAAAGGATTAGAAAGCAAAAGTCCTATCCTGTGCTATAAAGTTAGAGAATAAACATAACAGGACTGCATAGTCCAGGACAGCACCAAATTAGAATTTTAATAATACGGGGGACTGGGAAACAGATGCAAAAACAAGCCTCTATGAAGCTCTAAAACAATCTGCTCAACAACCAATAGACTGGAAAAAGTTCCATGAAACTACTCAAAATTCAGATGAATACCCTGATGATTTTTATATCTGTGTGTGTGCTGCTCTCTAGAAATCTGTTCAGTTAGATCCAGAAAATGAGAGTGATCCAAAAGCCATTGCTTCAGCTTATGCTAATCAATCAGTAGCAGACTGATTACTTTTATAAATTCTGCCCCAGTTGGAGTGGAAAGACTAGTGAATAAGTCAGGGGAATTGTCAATGAAGGACCATAAGAAAAAAGAAAAATAAGACTGAAGAGGTGAATATTCTGGTGGCAGCCTTGAAAGAGGCTATCTGGGAGAGGAAAAGGGGCCAAAAGGGAATATTTTATTCCTTCCCCTCTCCAAAAAGAGGAAAAGGCCAAATAGTGCTTTTATTGTAGACAATGAGGGGCATTTTAAGATGGACTGCAGGAAACTCAACAAGGTGAGGCCTCCAAAAGAGGGCCCTGTCCTCCAAGTTGCCTGAAGGGGACCCATGTGCTGAGTGACACCCCTCCCCCACTCACAATTGCAGGAACATCAGTCAGTATCCAGTGGGGAATAATGGGGATGAATATTTGCAAAGGTGAGGAAGGAGGTGGTCAGAACTTAAGGTGTTTCTTATAATGTGAAAGGGAACGAAGTATTGTTAAAAGCAGCCTTTGATAGAGATAACAGTAAATGGCATTTCTTTTGTTTGCTTAGTGGATACTGAACAACTTTCTCATAGCTTTCAATAGTAGACTGGGAAGAAAGTGAGATGAGCCCTTTGAGGACACTCCCACCCCCCTTTAAAGTTTCCACTGAACTTCTGACTGCTTTCATTCTTTTTTTGATTATGCCTAATTGCACTGTTTCACTATGTGGGATGGCCTTGTTATGTAAACTTAAGGATATTATTCACTGTGATCCAGGAGGGCCTAGGTCAGAACACAAAGGAATTGATTGGCTCATTGGATGATTTTTAAAGAACCCAAAAGGCTTATGGGACCCCTGGTATCTGAATTGCCTCCCTTGTCACAAAACTTCCCTGCCAGTTTACGGGGCTGGAACTCCACCAACCTGAGGTTCATGCAGTCAGCCAACTCAGTGCAGAAACAGACTAAGAAGGGAACACCCCCTTGTGTTCAACAGTATATCAACTTGGAGACTGTTGAACCTATTCAAACTCTTCACTTTTTACATCCTCCTGGGAGTGAAAGTACTCTGCCAGTGACCTTGCAATACCCCTGTTCTGCCAGCGAGAAAAAACAAAGAGGATAACGACAGCCTGCCTGTGTACTGCTTGTCCAATGGTTATCAATGATTTTGTTGTCCTGAGATCCCCTGTGGTCCTGAATCCCTGTTTCTATTATCACAATATGAAAGTATATTGTTATTGACTTGTGTGTGGTTTTTTTTTTCCCCCAACATCCCAGTACACAGTATCTTTTCACTTTTACTTGGAAGGGCCAGCACTGTTGGACTAGGCTGCCCCAGGGTTATTGTGAATCTTCCACTCTGTTCACACAGGCACCTGTCAAAGATCTACAAGATGTGCACCCACCTCAGGGATCTGCCTTAATCCGATATGTGAATGATTTACTGTGTGCCTCCCTTCACAAGGAGCCTGTGAGGA